CCCCCCCCCTTCCCCCCAGCAGCTCCTAAGGCCTGGAAAACTCTGCGTTTCTGGCCGACGACTCGGCAGGGAGCTGACGGGAGCCCTGACTCTCATTCCTATCCCAAAGGAAGGAACGATCAGAGCCGCTCAGATCTAGCACTAACCGATGCTGGCGTCTTGGGGCAAGGCACTTTAGGCAGTTCCCAACCACTAGTCCACAGCCCACGGCGGAGCCACGGCGATGAAGCAGGAGGCACCTTTCCACGGCTCCCGCTCCCCCAACCGGGTTGGGCGGGGTGGGGTCACAGGGCAAGAGGGTGTTGGCCTGGGCTGTAGAGGTCAGCGGTTAAGGGTCAAATGGCATGGGGCATAGGGGTAGGAGTCAAAGCATGTTAGGCACTGGGGACACTGGGGACACTGGGCTGGATTGGGGCTAGGGGGACTGGTAATATTTTATTTGCATATTTGCATGTTCATTTTGCATAATGAATATGCAAGTTTGCACATTACCAGTCTGCCAAATGTTTGTGAATGAGTTTTACGGTCTGTGGCATAAGAAAGATTGGGAACCACTGACTTAAGGGACACTGGTTAGCCTCAATATTGTCATCTAGGTCCGAACTCGGTGGGGAGAGACAGAACCCATGTGGACCCCTGGGCGCTCTCAGCTCTGGGAGGGGAGTGGGGTCTAGTGGGTACAGCAGGGGGCAGGTACATTTCAGCTCTATACAAGAACATCAGAATGGCCAGACTGCGTCAGCCCAATGATCCATCTAGGAGCAGATGACACAGAGAGTCACCTCCATGTTAAACCAGGGACCTGGTGGGGAGTCAGGGCCCTTGGTGGCTCTGTGGGTACGTGGGGCCCTTTCCCACAGAAAACAATGAAATGACAGATGCTGCTCATGGGAGCTGATGCACTTTGGGGTTCAGGTCGGCGGGGGAAGGGCAGACACGGACGTGCAGAGCAGCCAAGGGATGGGTGTGTCCGGTAGGAGAACTTTGGGCCTGGAGGGGACACAGAACTTTTCCATTTGGGAGGAATCAAATACAGGGCCAGATTCTGAGCTCAGCAACCGGGGTGTGAATCCAGAGCTACCCTGCCTCAGGGGTTGGAGGCAAGGCTGGGATCTAGTCTCAGTGACCCCAGGGTAAATCCAGAGCAGCCCGGCTCTACCATGGAGTGATGCTGTACTCACTGAGGTGTACTGGAGCACAGAGCAGTTAACACCTGGACCCAACAGCTGGCTGTGCTGCTCAGAGTTATTTTGTTCTTGCAGGCAGGTACCATCTTGTAGCAGGTACCATCTTTCCCCATGGCTCTTTCGACTCTTTCTGGATGGGATGAGAGTTATAAGAAGATTGTCCGGGACCATTTTGAGGCAGGGATGAGGGAGCTGGTGGGTTTCACCCAGCACCTGCTCGAAGCCGAGGCAGATCTGGACGCACATGGGGAAATCCGGGAACGAATCGAGGCAGCTTCCCGAGAGTTGTCAGCTGCTGAAGAGGAGCTGGGAAGGCAGCGGAAGAAGGTCGATGCCAGAACGGAGGAGCTGGTGGTGAAGAGGAAAAGCCTGCAGGACGAGCAAGCTGAGAAGAAAGGGAACCTCACACAGTTAAGGATCCAGCTGGACTCCTGCCGCAGGTCGGAACGCGAGGCCCGAGAGATGCTGGAAAGGGCCAGCCGGCACCTCAGTGACATGCAGGCCGAGGTGCAGAGAAGTGCAACGCGATGTCGGCATCGGCCTGATGTTTCTTCCTATTATAGGGACAATTATCGGTGAGTGGCTGGGGGAATTTGTACCCTATAATCCCACGGCACCTCGTGGCAGAGTCCGTCTGTTACTGGTGCCGTAGGACGGGGCCGCTCTGTCCCCTTTCTAGCCGTGTCTGCTGTCCCAGTCTCCACTGAGCACGGAGAACCAGAAGAAACGGGCCGGCATAAAGGGCTTGGGAAGAGATGGGGCCTTTCCCTTTTAGGGGGCCCTGGCTCACCTTTGGCCCCAGAGAGGGTGAATGGAAGCGGGGGGCTGTAAGGGATGAACCAAGAGCCAAGGGTTTGGGCTGGGTCGATGCCTGGCTGCAGCTGGCCTGACTCTCTCCCCAGCTGCTGGGCAGCTAGGCTGGGCTGAGGCATCGCTACGCTACGGCAGGCCTAGTGCTCTCCAGACTGACAGTGGTGGGTTGGGCTTCGCCAGGCCCAGCTGGAGGCCATGCAATACCCCACCTGCCTCTCCCCCCCTCCCCAGGCATCGAGCCCCCCCCCCCCGGGAAAAACCTGTTTTATAGAGAGACATGGGCAGGTTCTGAGCCTGGGTTTCCCCAGGGCTGCTAAGTATGGTCAGACACTGAGACCAACACTCCCTCTCCCCCAGAGATGCCTCACTTCACAGCTCAGGCCCAGAGCTTTGCATGTGGTAGCAGGAGACCCCGCCCACCAGCCAGCTGGGTGCAGGATAGATTCCAAACCCAATGGGGAACCCAATGGGGCCTCCAAGAACAGGTTCTGAGCCTGGGTTTCCCCAGGGCTGCTAAGTATGGTCAGACACTGAGACCAACACTCCCTCTCCCCCAGAGATGCCTCACTTCACAGCTCAGGCCCAGAG